GGAAGCCCATCAACCCCACAGAATGTGTAGCAGTACTTTACTGTAAGCTCAAATACAGAAGTGCAGATTTGCATTTATAGCTAAAATAAAACAAATGTGTAGGCAAGGAGAAAAGACTACTAAACAGTGAGACAGAAAATATGACACCTTAAGAAAAACTAAGAAAATAATAAGCAACATATTAAATTCTCGGGGACTGAAAAAGCCAAAAAAGGGAGGAGAAACAAAGTCACTGCAGATTAAATATGGAGAGTTTTAAGCCAATTATAAAAGATCAAAGAGAACAAGAAAGGGGAGGAGTAGCCTTACAAGTAACCAAGATAGGAAAACTTGGGAGAAATATGACCAGTGAAAAATCATTACAGTTTATAGTAAAAGTAATCTAGGGATGATTTTAGAGAGAAATTCAGTAGAGACCACTACTGAGAGCAGAGTATAGAGACAGAAATCAAAAAGCTCTTTATTTTAAAAAGGCATGCAAGTTCAGAGGGAAGGTACTTCCTATGTAGAACACTGAATAGGATTGGCAAAGTGAAATGTATCAGTGAAAAATGACAGTGCCTTGAGACGCATTTTGGATTTCTATACCACTGACCTCTAGCTAGGAAATGTGGCTTGGTCTTCATACACACCCCCAGGGGCAAAAGGAACAGGCAACGATTGTGGAATTAGTAGAAGAGTGTCCTTGAAACTCATCTGACACTTTCTTTTGCCCCAATAAAAAACTGACACTGCCTCCTTTGAATAATGTCAACTTCCTCAAAAGTCTCAACCATTACTATGCTCGATTTTACTCAAGAGGAGCTGAGCTAAACTGCTAATGCAAATGATGCTAACTTTCGATTTTAATATCATCTTTCATTTATGGAATATTCTGCTATTTGCACATATTCTTTAGGATGCTAACCACCATAACTTTATGAAGTTGAAAGAGCAGGAACTACGGTGTCCCCCACCCCAAAAAGAGGTGTTGGCTGTGCCTTAGAAAGGTACCCTGTACACAAAGCAATGCAGTAGGAGCTGCAGTCTGGATTAAACCCAGGCCTTTGAGTCCAGTTTTGGCTCCTTCTTGCAAAGACATGAAAAATGCATACATCCAGCTCTTCGCTTTTATTCTAAGTAGTTAATTCAGTGTATTTTGGGTTTTTGTTTAATAATCAACAATACACTTAACACTATAAGTATCAGAGTCAGAAAGCCCAGAGAAGTGCAGATTACTGCTAAAGACTCCCAGTTACAATTAATTAACTAGCATGTAAGATCAAGGAGAATACCTAACTTAGAAAACCTTTCTTTCCTAAATGAGATTGTACAGATCACTCTATAACTACAAGGATGACTAAAAACTTTGGTATAACTGAATTTATAGGATGAGAAAATGTGACATAATAACATAGCACTTACTGAGAGAATATATTTCAAGAAAAGAGAGAGAGGGACAGAGACAAAGGGAGCTCTCTCTGGACATCAACTATTTTACTTATCCCTACACCTGGATACAAACTTGTTCACCTGGCTTAGTAACCTGGCTACCCAGTAAGTCCCAAATTAGTACTATTACACTTGGGGTGATAGAGCCCAATGTAGGGCATGAGAAAAGGCTGTGAGTCAAATTTGGATTTGAATCTCAACCCCACCACTTAATACATGAGCAATCTTGAGCACGTTATTTGACCCCTATTTCCCTATAAATGAAAAAAAAAAAAATTTCCTAGTTTACAGAGTTGCTGTAAAGATTAAATGAGAATATAAATAATAAAGCAGCTAAGGTAACATCTGACACAAGGTAGACACTCAGCAAATGAGAGCTAGTTGAATTGTAATTATTACTACCACCTCTAAAAGCATAATGCCAGAGCTAGGAATTAAACTACATTCTGAAGGCAAAGCGTAAAGCCTTGTCCATTCTCCCCTCTTCACAACAAGGAATTAGGAAAACGTTATTCACAATCGTGCCTGGATCCTCAGTTTGAGAAACGTTACTTATTCCTGCCATTCTGGCCCTTGGCAACACAAACTAATGTGAGAATTACATTTCTTTGCCTAATTACTCTTATTACGCTTTGTTTTCAGTTCTACCCAATTTTCCCCTGCTCCTAGATGCAAGCTTTTGTTTCCTGTCAAACTCCCCTCCATTGCTGTAAATAATCTCTCCCCCTCTTTTATATTACCTTTCAAATATTTATAGACTGTTATTCTCCTTCTCTCCAAGCCATACATCATTTTTGTTGCCCTGCCCCGGGATTCTCTCTAGTTTATCTACATCTTTTAGAGAAAAACAAACTCCAGGTGCTTCATGATGAAAACAGCACACCCAAAGCTAACAACCCTAAACCAAGGAGGCCCCTTATTCAAAAGCCACAAGAAGTCTTTGATGTGCTTCTAACTCCTTTTCTCCTATAACTCATAATTCCATCTCTCAGATAAAAATTGAGGCAGAGAGTGATAAAGGAAATGAACCCCGCCCTCACCAAGCCGGTGGCAGAGGCCCTAGGGTGTAATGCTGTGGGACAGTCCCGGACATGACCCTCACCAAGCCGGTGGCAGAGGCCCTAAGAGGCAGCAGCTCCTAGGGTGTAATGCTGTGGGACAGTCCCGGACATGGTTCAAGCTTCATGAGGAACTGTGCATAGTGTGCATCGCTACTTGTGCATTCCTTCCCCACCCACTGCATCTGACTCGAGTGTATAAGAATAGTGTCCTTGAGACTCCCTTGATGCTTTTTTGCCTCTGATGAAAAATATGACACTTTAATTTTCAGATGCACAGTTTTGAAAACATACAAAACTAAACACTTAAAAATACTATCGTCCTCAACAGGGAGACCCCATTTCATAGTGGGTGATTGTGAGGCTTACCTAGTTCAGCTTTCTCACATTTCTTCTGGAACATGGTAATGTCAAAGTGTCTGCACCCCTCCAAAAGGCTGTGCTGATGCCCCCTGCTTCTTAATCTGACATGTATGTCTCAAGGTTTCTAAAATGTGCGCCTTCTTTCCAAGGCAGCAAGATATTTATTGTGCTTTACCTATTTTGTAGAAGGGAACTTCCTCATCTCAGCATTCTGAGTATTTGTAAGGTTATACAACACTCCCCACTCCCTTCAGAAAGAATAAGAGATGGCTAACGCTAAAGACATACACTGGTAAAATTAATAAAATAGAAAAAGTGAGGCTAAGAAGGGGGAAGCTTATTCTAACTATTCCAAAGTGAGGACTCAATACATTTACTCTGCATGAACATTAAGATGTATCTGAGATTCCTGGCAGCTGCGGTAAAATGGAAGGAAGTGTGATAGGTTACATGATCCTTATCCAGAGACATAATTCTTTTGTCAGTCCATGTAGCTTCATTTTGTGAAAAATAGCTTATGGCAAATGGTGGATCATATCCAGGCTCATTCCTCTGCTTCTCACATTAGTATCTGAAACTTGAGTTCTGTGGCATGTTTCTGTATTTCTTCATGGCTTACAAGGAACTTTTACATAAATATATTAGTTAAGCACCACAATAATTCTGCAAGATAAACTGGACAGACATTACTATTTTATCCATTTATCCTTTGAGGAAATAGACAAAGAAATTAAGGGAACTGCTCAAAATCAAAGAGGTGGTAAGTAAGTGGGCCAGGTCTTCAAACTCTACATCTTAGGTTCTTTCAATGGCATGAAGCATCCTTCCCAGGCACAAAGTTAACAAGATAACAACAACACTCTTTTTCCAGGTGTCTTCAAGCCTTAAGACCTTTAATCAAGTTTCTACTACCATACACCATTCTCTCAGGGGGAAGCCTGGCATTGCCATGTGGTAACAAAAACTCACCCTGGGGGAAGCATGACACTGAACGTGTTCCACATCAGTCAAAGAAAGCAGTAAAACTGCTTTCAAATACTTGACAGATAACATGCATTCTAAGTTCGTGGAACCTGGATAAGAATAAGATTAATCTCCATAACCACACTATTGACTAACCAGTGGTCCCCAACTTTTTTGGCACCAGGGACCTGTGCTCCTATAAGTCTAATGCCCGATGATCTGAGGTAGAACTGAGGGGGAGATGCTAGCACTAGGGGCGGCTGCAAATACAGATGAAGCTTCACAGGCTCGCCAGCCGCTCACCTCCTGCTGTGCAGCCCCGTTCCTAACAGGCCACAAACTGGTACCGGTCCACAACCTGGGGGTTGGGGACCCCTGGACTAGACAGTATATCCCACTCCTTGGTCATGGCCATACCGAATAGTAATGTTGAAATTTCTAGACCACAACACTGGTCATCACTGTGAAATGGTCTAATCACTGGGCCTGTTAGTTTAACTTGCGACCTGCCCATGGTTAAACTGAAATGAGCAGAGGTTGGAAGAACATAAAGAACTCATCAGGTTTAGCCGTTCTACTATGTTTTATGATGGCCATTTTTACTTGGCCCGGGCTAATGACCTGTTAACCAGGAGCTAGAAGAATCACAGGTTCTGCTCTTCGGCTTGACCTTCAAAGAATGCAGTGACCAGGGCTCAGTCCTTGGGCTCTTCATGTCTCTGCAGTCTGCCCCACCTCCAGTTGTCTCATCTAGTCTCATGGTTTGAAATACCAAGTAGCAGGAGGAGGAACTATAACTCATAGCACAAAGGGCCAATCTCCATAATAAGTAAGGATCCCCTAAATAGAGGGGAATTCAATAGAGAAATGGGCTGAGGACATACACAGATGTGTCACAGACAAAAAAGTACAAATGGCCCTGAAATGTATGAAAAAAATGTCCAACCTCACTAATAAAGGAAACGAGGATTATTAACTATTTGAACCTTTCTATTGCTACAAATTACCACAAATTTAGTGGCTTAAAACTACACTCACTTATTATCTTACAGTTTTGTGGGTCCAAGTCTGACCCAGGTCTCTCCAGGCTAAAAATCAGGTGTCAGCAGGGCTGCATTCTTTTGTGGAGGTTCTAGGGGAAATCTGTTTCTTTGCTCACTCAGGTTGCTTACAGAATTCAGTCCCTTGCAGGTGCAGGACTGACAACCCATTTCCCTGCTGGCTGTCAGCTGAGGGTTGTTCCAAGCATCTAAAGAACTGCATTCCCTGGTTTGGGGCCCCCTTCTTCCATCTTCAAAGCCAGCAACAGTGGGTCAAGTCCCTCTCACACGTCACAACTCACCCTCTCCTGTGTCTTGTCATGGCATTTCTGGTGCATCCAAGAAAGGTTCTCTGCTTCTAAGGATTCACACCATTAGAATGAGCCCACCTGTACAATCCAGGATCATCTCCCCATCTTGGGACCCTTGACTTCATCACATTTGCAAATTCCCTTTTGCCACGCTAAGATAACACCCTCGCAGAATACCAGGACTTGGGTGTAGACATCTCTGGGGAGCGCATTACTCTAATGACCACACCCATGTACACTCTTCACCTTTCAGACTGGTAAAGCCCCAGTGTCACCCTAGTGTTAGCAATGTTGAGGCAGCTGCTCTCTAGAGGGAGTGCCATTGACAATATCTACCAAAATTACATGTAAATTTGCCTCCAATATAGACCTCCTATCCTACCATTTCTTTCTATCTCTACTACCACCTAAGGAGAGAGGCCTCTTTTCCTAATTGCCCTATCAAAACAGCCACTGTTCCTTCGGACACTTCCATCATATCACTTTATCTTTCTTCATAGTGCTTACCACTTTCTGAAAATATCTTGCTTATTTTACTAGTGAGCTTGTTTATCAACAGTCTCTCCCGCTAGATATGTAAGATCCACAAGAGACAGGTATTTTATGCACAGCTGTATATCCCATGCCTAGAAAAGGGTCTGACCTGATGCAGTCACACAATGAATTATTAGTTGAATGAGTGTAAAATAAAATTGAAAAACAGAAGAAAAGAAAGAAGGGAGGAAATCTTGCTCAAAGAGCAGACCTGCTAGCAAAGATGAACTCTA